CGCCCTGCGCCCTGCGCCCTGCGCCCTCCGCCGCGCCTGCTGCTGCTCTCCCCACTGATCGGCCTTCTCCCCAGTCCCTCCAGCGCCCTCTCGTCCCTCGGCATCCTGGACCAGGTAATGAATCTCCACGATGTCAACCTAGACCCGATTTCTCTCCAAGGGTCGCCACTTCGGATTCCAGCGTTTGGGAGGAAGGCAATGACAATCGGGCCAACTCTGCAGGACAGAACTTTTTTTTTTTTTGGTACCGGGAATCAAACTGATGACCTCAGGCTTACCGGGCAAGCGCTTATGCCACTGAGCTATATATCCCCAGCCCTGGACAGAACTTTGTAAAGTGCACGAGGTCCTGTGTCAGGACCTCCTCTGGGGCCAGCCCAGCCCATGCACTGTCTCTCGAGCTGGGTGTGGTGGCCCATGTCTGTAATCTCAGCACTCGGGAGGCTGAGGCAGGAGGATCATTGTGAGTTCGAAAATGCCTAGGCTAGGAAGTGAGTTCAAGGCCAGCCTGAACTGCATAGCAAGACCTTGTCTCAAAAAGACAGAAAAAAAAACCCCAAAAACCCAACTTTCTGGGTGGTTCCTCTGCGCTGCCCTAGAGCCCTGGCTGGGTGGAGCTTCCCAGCTGTGCTCTCTGGGGAGCCTGTGACCTTCTCCGGAGCCCCAGGAGCCAGGGCTGACCCACAGCAGAAGCCACCACACTCTGCTCCACCTAGGGACTGAGGCTGCTGGAGGATTTGCCATTTCTCCCCAGAGCAGGGAGGAGAGGAGTCCCCGGCCAGGGGTGGTCCTTGGCAGGGCTGCCATCTGCCAGAGACCACTCCTGGGTGTGGTCTGTGTGCGAGAGGTGTCGGTGTGTGAGGGTAGTGGTGAGCACAGCGCGAAGGGGCAGAGCTGAGGAGGGGCCGCCCCAGTGTGGTGAGCACTAAGCACACGGGTGCCTTCACCTGTGCTCCGCTGGGGCAGACAGCAGGAAACTTTAACTGGGTAGTGTGATACTTTACGAATGATGCCCGCCTGTAATCCCAGCACTCTGGAGGCTGAGGCAGGAGGATCACCTTGAGTTTGAGGCCAGCCTGAACTATGTAGTAAGACTTTGTCTCAAAAAACAAAAGAAAAAAAAACACAGAAAAAGAGAGAGGATAAGAATGCAGGCTTCTCAGAAAGACGGAATGTGCGACCACGAGCGGGTTTTTCAGCTCAGCCACAACATCCCCTTTTCAGAGGCTTTCTTTCTCCAGCACACACACACACACACACACACACACACACACACACACACACACACACACTGTGGGACGGGACTGGGGGCTCTGAGTCCCCTTGCTGATGCTTTGGTCTTGCTGACGTCATCTCCTCCATCTGCAACTAGTTGGCCTGTGTCTCCTCTTCCATCCCAGGGATGGCGCTCCTTCCCTTCTCTCAAGCTAGAGGAAGAGAGGAGAACGGCCAGTGGGTGCTGCGCTGCCCTGAGACCAGCCCAGGCTGCTCCCGATGGGGCAGACAAAGAGCCCAAAGGTGGATGGTGTTTCCCCAGGGCGCAGGGGAAATGTGCACAGAGGAAGTTGAGTCAGAGGGTGCAGTTTCTGAGGTGACTGACCTACAAAAAGGAGACGTGCAGACCATGTGAGGGTGACTGTATTCATTTGTGGCCTGGACACGAGGGGCGGCTGAGGCGGGTCAGTTGACAGAGTGAGAAGAGGGAGGAGACAGAAGGGACAGGAAGTGTCCAGGAATGCAGTGGCGACCACGTCAGGCCGTGCCCCTCCCCCTCCCCCCTCTGGCAGACCCTGGTGTGTAGCGGAGGGCTGGGCGCCCGGCCACGCCGGGGACTCCTCCTGCTTCTCCCGAGGTGCTGTCGGGACGAACCGAGGCCCCAGAACAGCAGAAATGAGTTACAAAAATCCCTCGGGGATACAGCACCGTGGTCTCAGATTTGTCAAGACAAATTGTGCTCCGGTTACAGGTGCAGAAAATACTGGCACCAAATGGAGAGATCGTCAGCTCCAGCTCCCTCTGCTTTGACAGAGGTGGTCATTTTCTGAAGAGTTACAGGTTTTGTGAACCCTGAAGGAAGCAGGGGTGGAGAAGGCACCCCCAGTAATGACTTCACAGTCCAGAAAATGTCAAGTGTTATGTATGAGTGTTACAACAGAGGCACACGCAGTTTCACCAAAAGAACAGGTGCACTGCCCCTCAGGGGAGAGTAGGGTGCTTCAGGGGACATTTTGGGGGACTTTGTCACTTTTTTTTTTGTCTTTTTGAGACAGGGTGCCACTATGCATTTCAGGCTGGCCTTGAGCTCACTTTGTAGCCCAGGCTGGCCTTGAACTCGCAACAATCCTCCTGCCTCAGCCTACCGAGTGCTGGGATTACAGGCATGCATCACCACACCCAGCTTTTTTTTTTTTTATAGAATTTTTTTTTTTTATAGAAATTTTCTTTTTTGGTACTGGGAATCGAACTCAGGACCTTGCACTTGCCAGACAGGCGCTTGTGCTGCTGAGCTATATCCCAGCCCACAAGGGACTTTCTTACCTTCACTGCTATCTTTCTGGCGGCCATTGTGCCAGGCATGCAGCTGGTCCTCACTGAGTAATCCTTAAATGAATGAATTCATCCTTGCAAGGCTGCTTTATTTTTCCTCCCTGGCTACTGGGTTGATCCCAAAGCCTTCACACTGAGCTACATTCTGAGGGCTTTTTTATCTTTTCTTTTGAAACAGGGTCTCAGTAAGTGGCTAAATTGCCCAGGCTGGACTCGAACTTGTGATGCTCCTGCCTCAGCCTTCCAGAGTGCTGGACCTCAGAGATTCTGAAGGTTAAGAAAGATTTTTCCAGGCTGGAAAAAGGGAAGAACATTTGGGTAGAGGGCATGGTGGGTACAAAAGCCCAATAAGAAAATGGACCAGTTTTTTTTTTTGTTGTTGTTGTTTTTATTTTTTTGGCAGATGTGGAATAAATACCTTCCAATTCTGTAGAAGGGGAAAAAAAGTACACACAGCAGTAGATATTGTAAGAACAAAATGGGGAGAAAAAAAAGAAAAGAAAGAAGAAAAGAATGAGAAAAAACAAAAAGGACATAATATAGTGGTAGTTTCAAATATATCAGCTCTAAAAATAGTTTTTTTCACTGTATTGTCTTTTTTTTCCCCCTGTAACCAGGAATCGAACTCATGACCTTGCGCTTGCCAGGCAGGTGCTGTGCCATTGAGCTAAATCCCTAGCCCTTCACTGTATTGTCATAGTGACCAGAAACCATGTTTTCAAAAACTACATGAAAACTTTGGAAAACACCTGCAATACAAGGTTAGGTGTAAACAAAAGCAAGTTATTAATCTATAAGTATGTATGTTTCCAGTTTTGAAAGAAAAATTCAAAACATATATACTTACCAGAAAGAAGAAAGAAACTTCCTAAATGTTTCCTTATGCTAGTTATCTAGAAGGTCACGGGTTTAAGTGTGATTTTTATTTTGTTTATCCTTTTTTGTATTTTCTTAATTTTTTTTTATTTTTTTTTTGGTCTTTTTGAGATAAGGTCTCAAAAAAAAAAAAAAAAGAGACACAAGTTCTCGCTATGCAGTTCAGGCTGGCCTTGAGCTCACTTTGTAGCCCAGGCTGATCTCAAACTCACAATGATCCTCCTGCCTCAGCCTCCCGAGTGCTGGGATTACAGGCGTGTACCACTACGCCTGGCTTGTATTTTCTTAATTTTATACAATAAACATCTGTTACTTTTACAATCAAAAAAGAATTGATTTAGAATTATTCCTTCGGGTGGCCTGGGGGGGTCCGGTTGGAGGAGAGTTGTGGGGGGTGAGGCTGGAAGGGGAGTTGGGGGTGTGGGGTACAGGGCTGGAGAGTGTGAATTTGCCTCAGTACTGGGGGTCCACAGATCTGTCTGCTTCTGGGGCCGCATCATGTGGTGAGGACCAGCTGTTGGTCTGGTTGCCTTGGCAACCCACTCTGGAAACATCCTCAAACCCTGTCCCCCTCCTGTTTGTAGATGCCAACTCCAGCTGACGCCTCTCACGCTGTCCTCTGTCACTGCTCGCCCGGGTCCTGCTGGAGCTTCACTTCCTAACCCCCATTCCTTCCAAACTCGGCTCAAGAAGGTCCCAGGATCCACCTCCTTCTCCTTTTTTCTTCTTTAATTTATTTTTTCCTCTTTTCAAGTTCTTTTTTGTTTTGTTTTGAGACAGAGTCTCACTGTGCAGTTCAGGCTGGCCTTGAGCTCACTTAGTAGCCCAGGCTGGGCTTGAACTTGCAGCAATCCTCCTGCCTCAGCCTCCTGAGTGCTGGGATTACAGGGTGCTCCACCACGCCTGGCCTCATTTTTGTTAACCATAGCTGCACTACGGTGCACCGAATGCCTGGGATGTATTCCCATTGCACTGTAACTTTGTACCCCCGGACCAGCCTCTCTCCATCCTTCTCCCCTGCCCGCCTGCTGATCATTATTCTCCTCTCCATTTCTACAAGGTCAGCTTGTTTAGATTGCACATGCCTAGCCGGGTGTGGAGGCGCATGCCTGTAATCCCAGCACTTGGGAGGCTGAGGCAGGAGGATCATGGCGAATTCGAGACCAGCCTGGGCTACAAAGTGAGCTCAAGGCCAGCCTGAACTGCATAGTGAGACCCTGTCTCAAAAGGGCAAAAAAAAAAAAGATTGCATATACTTGAAACCACGCAGTACTTGTTTTCCTGTGTCTGGCTTCTTTCACTCGGCATAAGTGAATGGGAGAGGACGGTCTTGAGAAGTCTATTAGCGCAATGAACAGACAGGAAAGGGGCCGCCACACGTGATTCTAAGAACGTTCCCTTCCTGAAATTGTACATCTCTGCCTACTTTTCCTTGAAACCAGGTTCACCTATGTTGTCCCCAGAGACAGGATTTTATTTATTGAACTGTTGGGAGAGCGGAAGCTGGAGAGTAATTACGCTGCAGGACGCAGCCAGCTGGAGGACAGGGGAGCTCCTCAAGCGCACAAACAAGCCGTTTTAGCTTCTTAACAGATTGCTGGGCGGCCAGGCTGAAATTAATCAACCTCTCGAGGGTATAAATAAACGCTCTCCTGTTCTTGGGTAGGCCCCCTTCTC